AGAAAAGACTAGCTTTGAACGTTGAATTTGGTATAGCAAATTAATGACTTTTTTCGTTCTTTGGAAGCTCATAGATATATATAGAGTACATATGGTTATTATTTAAATGTTTAGAGGTGAAACTTTTGTTCCGGTATTTTAAAATAAGCATTGCAAAATTGTGCATTGTATATAACTTCTCTAAAAAAAAATGGTTGAGACACTGAAAATATGTAAACTTTTAAGTCAAAATTTTTAACCGATTACTACGTTAAAAACCATTTGAATCTGGCTAGCCTTAGATTTGCTAAAAACTTGTGAGTATGATTGGCGAATATTGGAGTAATTGAGAGGAATTGAAAAAGTGTAATTGAGAGAAAAAGAAAAGTAATAATTAGAATAATTGAGAAGAAAAAAATGATGAAAAAAAAACTTGAATGATAGTAAATAGAGTATTTGAGAGTAATTGGAAAAAATAAATAAAATATATTGTTTTAAGCGTATATTATTTGTATTGTTGTCTTGGTACGTGTGCTAGGTGGGAGAGTAATTTTTCTTACATGTTTTATGTAGTTGGATGTTTTCTACTTTTTTCCACCGAAAAGAGTATTTATTTTTCTTCTGTTTTTTTTAATGATATAAATCAAGAAAAATTTGGTAATTTTTTTTTTCTTTTTAGCTACACGGTACTACCAAAAATAAATCCGCTGTGGAAAATAAAAAAGAGAAAATTTGCTTATGTGTTTGTCCACCATATCAGGCAAACATAAGGCAAAAACAAACTTTTAAAAATAGCAAAAACAAAGAAAAATTAAATTTTAAAAAAAAATCAAAATAAAAAAGAAAGAGTTTGAAAGTTACAACGGTGGATTCTATTTCAGACGCGTAAAAATCTCTGAAACATGAAAAGTTGAGTGCGAAACATTCTCTTATATCATTGTCTTTTTTGAGAGCTTGTTATTTGAGCTCTCCTTGTTTCTTTTTATTCCTCCGACAAGGACGAGGTTCCAAAAGAGAACTTTAGCTTCTTGTTCTAACAAAAAACACAAAAATTAATTCAAGAAAAAAGAAGAGATCTAGTTAAATGAGAAAGCATTCTCTTGATCGATGGCTTTTAACAGCCATCCTTATGGTTCTTCTTTCGTCTTCCTCATTCGCCGCGAAAAACGGCGCGAAAAAGAAGAAGAAGAATAGTAAGGAGGTGACTTATGATGGTACATCTTTGATCATCGATGGCAAAAGAGAACTTCTTTACTCTGGCTCTATTCATTATCCAAGAAGCACTCCTGAAGTATATATACATTTTAATCAAATAATAATTTTTCGTTCTTTTCGTATATTGATATTGACATTGTTATGTGATTTGGTTTTTGTATAGATGTGGCCTCATATTATCAAGAGAGCGAAACAAGGCGGTTTGAACACGATTCAAACCTACGTTTTTTGGAATGTGCATGAGCCAGAACAAGGGAAGGTAATTTAAAACACACAAATAGAACATATTAAATCACAAATATATGAATCTTTTTTTTTTTATCAAAAAAAAAATATATGAATCTATTTAGGTGTATTTAAGTGTCTTTTTTGGTTTTGTTTTATCATTAGTTCAACTTTTCGGGACGAGCTGATTTGGTGAAGTTCATAAAGTTGATCCAGAAGAATGGCTTGTATGTGACATTGAGGCTTGGACCGTTTATCCAAGCTGAATGGAATCATGGGTAATAATAATTGTTTCTTTTAATTTTGATTTCTTCTTTTCTTAAATTGTATTCCCTTAATGTTTTACGTGATTTTCTTTTTATATATATTAGAGGACTTCCTTATTGGCTTAGAGAAGTTCCGGGAATTTTCTTCCGTACAGACAATAAAGAATTCAAGGTACATATTACATATATATAAATGTGTGTGTTTCGTTATAACTAAAGAGATTAAAAGTTGTGACAAATTTTGTTGCAGGAACATACAGAGAGGTATGTACGGATGATACTCGACAAAATGAAGGAGGAAAATTTGTTTGCTTCACAAGGAGGCCCCATTATATTAGGACAGGTGACAAAACATACCTAGTGATTTTGAAAAATTCTTGTGAAATGAATGGTTTTGTA